GGCCTGATAACGGAGTCCCCTAGGAGTGATGGTGGTGAAGTATTTCTGCAGCTTGCTGCTCTGTAAAACTCCTGGCTCAGCCCAGACAGCTGCACAGCACACACTGAGCCGTTGATACACGTATACCACTTCTCCCCTGGTATTTCCTCCCGGCCACCTCCTCCCCAACCTTTTAGCCTGGTCAGTGTTGCACTAATAACATTTTTTTTCCACATGTGGCTTTTTTGTACAATGTGCTTTCTGTGGCCCTGGTAAAGGACCCGAGAGGGGTTGTCTCACTCTGGTAGTGATTAACCTGATGGCTGCCTTATGGCCAAGGCAAGGGCCTTTATGGCCTAAGGGAAGGCCAACACTTGTCACTTTTATTGGCCTTGGAGTTCAGCCTTGGGGAACTACCTGCATTTTTGCACCTCTGCCTCAGGCCTTCCACCACCTCTCCTCGACCCTTTCTGGATTTGCTTTGGTTTCTATATGTCCTTTGCTTCCTGTTTTAGCATCTTTAATATAGGCCGTGGTGCCTTAGTGGGAGCCCAGCAGAGCCAAGCCGTGGGTTGGCACAAGCTGGCAGAGAGCTCCATGGAGCTCCAGCTGGCTCCATACATGGAAAATGTGGCTTAATGGACATAACCCCAGCATGTTCTGCTTCATGCTTGAAGGATGAGTTTTCTTTTGGGGACTGCCGGGAAGTGCTTCTATATTAAGAGCCAGATCCTCTCTTTTTCACCCCAAAGCAGAGCCGACCTGGCAGGCTTTGCTGTGTCTCTTCGGACGACTCAAGTGCTCGGGCTTGGTGTTTGCAGCTCCTTTCAATAGTTTTCTTATTCAATATTAATCTTCCTTACATTTCCTTTGAATGGGGAGATTGAAATGTCGGTGTTTTCCTGTTCTGGTACGAGAAGTCATTTCCTCCATATGACATTTAAAATGCCTGCTTTGAGTAACACACACAAGCCTCTCTTTTGGATCAGGGCTGGTATGTCTCTTGCAAGTCTCCTCCCTGCAATAAGGGGAGGGAGGGGGGGGTGGAAAAAAAAAAGGAATTTGGCTCTTGCATCTGAAACAAATTAAAGCTTCATTTTTTCCAATGCTGTTCACTTGTTTAGGGTGTCTCCCACGGAACTGCCAGCAGCCAACACTCGCTTATGGACGGAAAGTTTCCTAATGGTCATTTTTATGTTCTCCAGAGTTTCCTTTCATTACAGAAACTCCGTTGTTTGCGAGATGTGATAGGTAATCGAAAGTGCAAGGTTCCTTCACCTTTATCACAGAGCACCATTAATTCTTACTTACGAAACCTCGGGTGTTTAACGAGGGTTACATGAATCATAAGACAACAACAGCAAAAAGAACTGTCTTGTTTCCTGCCATTCACCTACAGGCGTGAGTGGAAGGGGCTGTATTCTGCTTGACTAACCTCTATATAAAGGCACTTGTGGAAAGCTGGAGTAGAAAGCTGGCTTGGACAACAGCCACAGTTGCTGTTTGCAGCAAACGTGACCAGAAGTGTCTGATTATGGAGATGTGGTGGATCTTTCCGTGATCATCTGCGTGCAACGTGCTCTAACGAGGTGTCCTATGGTGTGTCGGGGAGTATACTGAGAGCTCTGAATATTAAACACTACATGTCAGATGAAAGATACCACTTGCTTTCATGGCTTGTCTGTTACACGTGCTGCCATATATTGTAGTCTTAATGATATTCCAAATAAGTTTACACCAGACTTTTTTTTTTTACTGTAGTGAAAAACAAACTTTTTTTTTTGTTTGGCAAATAACCAGTGTTCAGCTTCCTTTTGTCAAGGAATTTGTTTTGCATGTGTGTTGCCCTTGTGTTTGCTTCAGCTCGGGTAACAGTAGATCCCTGCAAATTAGGAAACGAAAGTTTCCTTATCCTTTGATTCCTTGTGAAACTTTTTCTCTAACTTACAAGCAGTCTCCCTTTGTTGCAACTCGTGTCCCTTCCCTCTTGTCCTGTCACTGTGCAATTTTGGGAAAAGGCTGGCTCTGTTCTCTGTATAATCCCACAAAGCCTCAGAAAACAGCAGTTAGGCTCCTTCTCACTCCAGCCTTCTTTTAGGCTGAAATAGCTGGATTTGCTCTTCAGCTTATCTCATGTACCCCAGTTCTCTTATCTTCAGGGCTCTCCACTGGACTTGTTTGCTTGTCACTGCTAGTTCTGGTCTCAGACTCTGTTCTCTGTATAATCCCACAAAGCCTCAGAAAACAGCAGTTAGGCTCCTTCTCACTCCAGCCTTCTTTTAGGCTGAAATAGCTGGATTTGCTCTTCAGCTTCTCATGCACCCCAGTTCTCTTATCTTCAGGGCTCTCCACTGGACTTGTTTGCTTGTCACTGCTAGTTCTGGTCTCATAAGTGCCAAATAGCAGGGAATAATTAATTGCTTTAAGAGGTTAGCTAATACTCTTGCTGACATAGGCCAGTATTTGGCTGACTTTTTGCTGCATCTTGACTCGTGTTCTGGCGGTTCTTAAGGGCAGCAAGCAGTCCTTTTTCACTCCAGCCTTCTTTTAGGCTGAAATAGCTGGATTTGCTCTTCAGCTTCTCATGCACCCCAGTTCTCTTATCTTCAGGGCTCTCCACCGGACCCGTTTGCTTGTCACTGCCAGTTCTGGTCTCCTAAGTGCCAAATAGCAGGGAATAATTAATTGCTTTAAGAGGTTAGCTAATACCCTTGCTGACATAGGCCAGTATTTGGCTGAGTTTTTGCTGCATCTTGACTCGTGTTCTGCTTGCTGTCATTAAGAACCCCCAGTCCTTTCGGGCAAAGCTGTTGTCTATTTGGTGGGCTACAGCCTGGACCTGTTTGTGCTGCTGTGTGGAGTCACTCCATCCCAGGTGGGGGTCTACGATGTTGGATTTGGGAGTATTTGAAGTTGTAAAGAAGCAGCAACCCATGGCAGGACCAATGGAGTGGATGGCTGTGGCAGGGACTTGGGAGTTCCCAGAAGACAGGGAAAATGCAATTTGTTTGGCATTGTTAAAAACAAACAAAAAACCAACAACAACAAAAAAGGGATTATAACTGTAGAGGTGAGAGTCTGTGTGGATGGAGGATTGCTTCTAGCCTGGCTCTGAGAACTTAGAGGATCTGGTTTGAACCCATCACAAATAGGACATATGCATGGGGAAAGAAGGTGGTAGGGAAAGGCAAAACAACCATCAGAATTAGGAATGGAAATTGAACATAAATTGATCTGAACGATGCTGAAACAGGCCGGTGCTATGTCAGTGTGAGTTTGCAGAGAAACGAGCAGGCAGGTGATGTATCCCTTGGAAAGAGACACTCCGTGCTGTCTTCTCTGTTGTTAGAGGAGTAGAGTTTGAAGCAGTGCTGCTGGTGGAGTTGGAACAAGTCACCTTCTGATAAGCCAGCGCCTGGACAGCCCTTGTTCCATGGGATTGACTGTGAGCAACTTCCACTCCAATAACTCATGGAGCTTTACTGAAGTGTCTTCTTTCGTAAGAGCTACAGTAGAGAAGTGATTTTGGACTGCTCCCCATATTTATGGGGGAGCTGTTGAATAATGTTTCTGTTTGTTCTTAAGTAATGTAGAAAAACATAAGGGTTTTTTATAGACTTACACCTAGACTTATATAATGCGTGTATGTATATGTATATATCTAACGTGCATAGATATACACACATTTTATGTATGTTTTGGTTATTGTATATTTGATATATATGCATATACATAAAAAAATCTTAGTATTTGCAGCTGCAAGCTTCTAAAAAGGCTGCCCTCCTTTCCCCCTGTGTTTAAAGGGCCTGTACTCCAGCAGGGACTGAAGGGTGGAAAGGATGGTGCCTGCAGCCAGCCCTGTGCTTTGCCATTGATGAGGGCAGAGAAACTAAGTGGAAAAGGGTGAAATGTGGGGAGTAGAGGGAGGAGAAGGGAGTTTAAGCTCAGTTTTAATGGCACTAGCTTGTGTCAGGGAGTGTTAGACCCAGCGTTAGTGCTACGGCATCAAAGGTGCACGATCACAGGCCTATTGCCTTTTCCTTCGGCGCCGCTCTGACCAGCAAGAAATGGGGGGGCCTTGGGGATTGCTTTGCTTTTAACTATAACCTGTCTTTTTCTGGGGGATGGAGGCACCTGTCACAAAACCTGCTGCGGTACTGGGTTTAATAAAATACAGCTGATAGATCCCGGGGAAGGCCAGTTTGAAATTCAGTCTTTTAGTAGGCCTCTGGCACTGGAAAAAATATTGTATTTGGCTTTTTCTAGTGTATGGGGCTGTGTTTTGTGTGGTGGTTTTTTTTTTTCCTTTCTAAGAGTGTTTCGTCTGGAAATGTTTACCAGCTTCCTTCCTTAGCAGAAATGCTGAGGACTTAAAACGTGGAAGAAATCCTGCCAGGATAGTGTCTTTTTCCTAAAGAGGATTTGGAATATGTTCTTCACAGTTCATCCGCCCTCTTTTATTTCCAGACTTCTCATACGTTTCTGTTAATGTAATCCTGAACTAGGATTCCCTCTTTTTGAAAAGCTGGCTGATAGGCAAACAGAGAGCAGTATAGGGGAGAGTTGGTTTACAGCAACAGTCCCAGAGAGGAAATTTTTGACCACCCCCAGTCTAGCATTTGATTAAATGCTGCATGGCAAGCATTCCTGACTGATGTGCATATAAACGGAGAGCAGAATTTCCTTTATCTATGATGCTTTCCATATTCAAGGTAACACAAAGCTTGCACAGACCTTAATATGAAAAATATGGCTCCTAAGAGCGATTTCTCAAAGGGCATTAAATCCTCTCCAGCGGTGCACACACTGGCTGTCCACAAGAGGTTTGGGGAAAACTTGAAAGCAGGGAGGGAATTTCAAACTGGGCTGGCAGTCCTTTGGACCTTGGGCAGCTTTGCCCTTGTACAACTGGTGTGGATGTTTCTCAATATGGAAGGACTGCGGTTCAGTTCCTTACTTTTTTCTCAAAAAATGTGAATAATTGACCAAACTTTGTAGAGAAGCACACAAAGCACAGTTACCTTGAGAACCATGTGGAGCATCATTTGCAGGCCGCTCTTGCCTGGATATTTCCCAGCGATGTTGGAAGAGGATAAGTTGAAGAGGTTGGCTCCTGTTTCTGTGCAGATGGCATGGACCAGCATTTTCTTTCCAACACCAGCAGGTCCAGCCAGTAACAAGGCCTTCACCACAGGAGCCTTCTCATGGACTATCTGGGAGCCTGTAAAAAGTCATAAGGCAGTATTATTGCTTTCATTTCAGTCTGCCATAAAGGTAATGGAATGATTCTTCCTTTTCTCTTTTTTTTTTTTTGCTTCACTGTAAATAATTTATAATGTGAATTCATTGTTTCCTTAATACAGCCTAAGTGCTCTTGAGTTCAACTCTGTATAACCAGAACTGTGGCCCCAGCACTTTTAACATCCCTGTTTGTAGCAAAACTCAACCCCCCCTTATTTGCACCTTTTGATGGGCAAACTTCAGCGCTAAAAGAAAAGTAATTTACCTCTAAATTTTTGCAGCACTGAAATGGGACTGCTGGTGGTGGCTGTATGTACAGATGTGCCTGGTGCCCTGCACAGGGACACTTGCCTTCTGTTACACAGCAGTTTTTAACTCTCTCCCTCAGCTCTCAGGCAGAGGTAGGGGTAGAAATGTACCTGTGGCTTCAACCTTTGCATTTGTTGTCAGAGCAGGTCCTCGCTTTCTGCAGCAGGACAAGGGCACAGGCTCATGGTGCACGTAGGACTAGCAGAAGTTTTTCCTCCTGCTGTCTGAAATGATACTTTCCAGCTTCCCCGTCTTTAAAGAAAACAAACTAATGGGACGATCTGTTGGAGCTGTGTTTGCCAGTGATTCCGAAACCAGATGTTACCATGTGTTTTATTTCCTCTCCTTTAAATGCTGCCTGCACTTCCCTTTTTGGGTAATTTTTCCTCTTAAACGTTATTGCTGATATACCCTTCGAAGCGTGGCTGCTGAGTGTGGTGTTAACTCTTGTACAGAGGAGTCAATGTTTATTCCCTGGTCTGGAACACGGCAGATGCGTGTCGTGGAGCAGGTACAACATAGAAGGCAGGAGAAGGTGGATCTTTTTCTATTCCCTTCATTTGATTTGGGTGAGCAAATGCAAATACCAAGGTTGCAGTGACCCCTTAGCACTTCTGCATCTGTCTCTGCGGCCGCTGCAGGTAAATTCATTAGGGGTTGGAAGAAAATAGGCTTCATCACCAGAGAATTAATTCATTAGCAGAAATGCCTGCGTTGTGAAAACAGAACCACAGAGAGAGATTTAGGTGGTCGACGGTGATGGATCTTGTCTCCCCTGCAAGTTCTCTTGCGGTATGAATTTGGTACAGGTGAACCTCCAGAGATGGAAGTAGCAAAAAAAATCAAATGCTTTATCCGTACCCACTGGTGGTCCAGTAACTTCACTGCCTTGATGCCTTAAAAACATCCTGTGCCACCAGGGGTGGTTGTTATAAAGTCAGATCTGAAAATCCATATGAGCATCCACTATAATTCATTAGCAGAAATGCCTGCGTTGTGAAAACAGAACCACAGAGAGAGATTTAGGTGGTCGACGGTGATGGATCTTGTCTCCCCTGCAAGTTCTCTTGCGGTATGAATTTGGTACAGGTGAACCTCCAGAGATGGAAGTAGCAAAAAAAATCAAATGCTTTATCCGTACCCACTGGTGGTCCAGTAACTTCACTGCCTTGATGCCTTAAAAACATCCTGTGCCACCAGGGGTGGTTGTTATAAAGTCAGATCTGAAAATCCATATGAGCATCCACTATTTCTGAAGGTCTTTGACACTGGTGTCTACCTGACTATGGGACTTGTGGGGGGGGAAACTGTGAAGGAAGCCCATGGCTTAGCCCAGAAAAGTTCTCCAGCTTAAGGCAGACAGTTTGTTCCCCCAAGAATGGCATTTAAAACCAGATCCAATCAGGCTGCCTATCTGTGTCCTAATGGTTTAACATCCCAAATAAATGACAACGAGCTGAGTGCTAAGATGAATGCCATTATTTCAGCACTCTGCAGGACGTAGTGAAGTTGTCAGCCACCCAGGCTTTATTAATATTTGGTCGTTCCATACCAATCTATTACTATTACACATAGATTTATTATGAGGGAAGCAGCAGACTCCTCTGTGGTTAAAGTATATCTTCTACTATTATTTCTCCTTTCAGCTGCTTATAATTTTCTCAATGCCATTTAAGGTGGAGCTTTCCTTGCCATCAGGTGACTATTTTGAGAAAAAACTTTCCCATCTACACATACACAATTAGATAATGATTAACAAGTTCTGAGACCAATTATGTAAAATGTCATCCATAATGTATCACCCAAAAGATGAAACCATTCCTGTGCCTTTTTTTGGCTCATATAAGATCTTTCTTTTTTTTCCTTTCTTTATCTCAGAGGCATTTTTCAAACTGCTATTGCAAATATATTCTGTTTGTTTAACTAGTCCAGGGTCTCTTCTCCCTGGATTGGATTTTTTTTTTACCCAATTGTATAAATGGCAGAGAATTTATGGGTTCTCTTTCCTCTTGGCTTGAGGGGGGGTGTCTTGGGGCTTATTTTCACTAGATTGGATGGTGTTAAAACATAACCCTGGAGGAGTTATATGTGAAATGCCACGCTGCAGTCAGCGCAGACAGGGATAAGGGCTGAGCTCTGTCTCCTGACTGTGGTCAAACTTGCAGCCAACCCCTGAGGGATTACCCAAAAACCAGCTGGGAGTGTTTTAGAGGGGGAAGACCCATCTGGGTTGAAGGCAGGGGTGCTGCTGCCATCCTGTTTGTTAAACTGACTCTTCTGATGAAGCTGCAGGGCAGAACAAGCACTTTTTTTCCCCGACGTTTAAGTGAAGCAGACTTCTGTGCTATTGCACCAAGCTTTCTGCAACCCATCGAGCCTGCTTTTGGGGATAGGGGGAGCTGGGAAATGCCCAAGGAGAGCCACAGAGCAGGAACGTAAAGAACAGCCCAAGCATTGGTCTTTCTGGAAGACAAAGGCAAAGGAAAAGCAGAAGCTCTCGGTCTTCTCTGCTCTGTTTGCCAGAATGGGAGGCAGGGAGATCAGGAACAGCGTGGCGAGTAGGGCCTGAGAGGTGATCATCCCCCTGTACTCGGCACTGGTGAGGCCTCACCTTGAGTACTGTGCCCAGTTTTGGGCCCCCTACCATAAAAAAAGACATCGAGATGCTGGAGCGGGTCCAGAGAAGGGCGACAAAGATGGCGAGGGGTCTGGAGCACAAGTCTTATGAGGAGAGGCTGAGGGAGCTGGGGGTGTTCAGCCTGGAGAAGAGGAGGCTGAGGGGAGACCTTATTGCTCTCTCCAACTCCCTGAAAGGAGGGTGTAGAGAGGTGGGGGTCGGTCTCGTTTCTCAAGTCACAGGAGACAGGACAAGAGGAAATGGCCTCAAGTTGCCCCAGGGGAGGTTCAGGCTGGATATTAGGAAAATTTTTTCCACTAAAAAGGTTATCAGGCATTGGAATGGGCTGCCCAGGGAGGTGGTTGAGGCCCCATCCCTGGAGGTGTTCAAAAGCCGGGTTGATGTAGTGCTGGGAGGTCTGGTTTAGTGATGATGCTCCTTGTTTGTTGTGTGGGTGTCTATTTTTGTCAGTTAGGTTGACGGTTGGACAAGATGATCTTTAAGGTCCCTTCCAACCTAGAAGATTCTGGGATTCTGTGAGATGTCAGCTCTTTTGCCCCGTAAAGGGAGTGAGCAGGCAATGCCACAGCCTGGGGGAGGATATGCCTCGTTTAAAATCTCCCCCAAATCCAGTGGGGAATGGAACAGGATGCAAGGGAACTATGAGTAGAAGCCCTTGAGGCAGGCACTTCTCACAAACTGTAGAGTTTGGCTTAATGCCGTCCCCAAGTAAAACCTGGGATAGATTTTATATTAAAAGCAAGCAACTTGACCCAGCAAAGCTGTGTTGGATATCGGTTAAGTCTGCTCTTAAAACTGCAAGAGCATTTTAAAAGACTTCTCTCTGATGCACAAAATGCATTCCGGCTAATTCCTTAAACGATTGCATTGTTTAGTGCTGAGTAACATTAGCCAGCTTGTAAAAGGTAAATTGCAACCTTAGCCCTTCTCTTAACTTGATTCATTTTGATCACTGGAGCTTGTTTTAGCTATTATCTTCCCCAAGTGGTTTCCTTTTATGCGCTGCCATTCACAAACTGTTAACAGGCAGACAGAGATGGTAGGGGGAACGCAATACCTGGCGATAGCGCGTGCGAGCTCCTTTATGCACTATTAAAACGAGATGCTCTTCACTCAGGAGGCTTAATTGAAAAACAATTATGCCGCGAAACGCTTTAGAATTACGATTCATCAAGCCTTGTCAAAGCCAGTAAAAAAGCAGGGTTGCTGATGGGAAGCAAAGCCATCGTGTTCAGCCCTCTGGTATAATTTTGGCTTGTGCTCTTACCTAATGGCAATATTCCATACAGTGCTATCAGCTGTCTGACATCTGCGAGAGAGGGCATTGGCTCGACGTCTACCTGGCGAAGCGCGGTCCCCAGGTAGCAGTGCTCTCCTGTAGGGAGGAAGCATGGTCTTAATAAATGTGACACCGCGTTGTTTATAAAATACATAACTCAAGCGATTTAAAAAAAACAAAAACAAAACAACCCACAGAATACCAATCCAGCCTGCTCTCGGCAAAACCCAGCACCGTCAAGGGACTGGGGGATCAACCGGGGTAAATATCGTTGTGGAATGTGGCCCTGAGAAATCTGAAAGGTGAATTGAGAAGGAAAATGAAGTTCAACATGCTGTGGGCTTCCCCTTCCAGACCGTGGAAGGTGTTCGGCAGAGCGGTCGGTCTCCAGTAACCTTTTAAAGAAACTTTGTGGAGAAGAATCATTAGCAGCACCATAAATCACGTTGCTGGCAAAGGATTTCTAGATTTGTGACTTTTTTCTCAGGGCTGGAATCCCAGTGAACCCCGCTCTATCAAAAGGATTGCAAAAAGGGGTGGAAAAGCTATTTTAACAAGCGTTAAAGGGCAATGAAGCTGGTGAGGGGTCTGGAGCACAAGTCTTACGAGGAGAGGCTGAGGGAGCTGGGGTTGTTCAGTCTGGGGAAGAGGAGGCTCCGGGGAGACCTTATTGCTCTCTACAACTACCTGAAAGGAGGGTGTAGAGAGGTGGGGGTTGGTCTCTTCTTCCAAGTTACAGACGATAGGACAAGGGGTAATGAGTTCAAGTTGCACCAGGGGAAGTTCAGGTTGGATATTAGGAAACATTTCTTTACGGAAAGGGTTGTCAGGCCCTGGAACAGCCTGCCCAGGGAGGTGGTGGAGTCACCATCCCTGGAGATATTTAAGAAACGTGTAGACATGGCTCTTCAGGGCATGCTCTAGTGCCCAAGATTATTGGTTTGTGGTGGGATGTTGTGTGGGTGGGTGATGGTTTTGGTTTGGTGGTTGTTGTTGTGTGTTTAGAGGGTGGGTGGTTTTTTTTTTTTGTTGTTGGTTTTTTTTTTTGTGGTTGGACTTGGTCTCTGAGGTCCCTTCCAACCACTACAATTCTGTGATTGTTTCCCCCAGCTGCATCCCATCTCACCTTCTCTCTACCTTAGACATTTAAGCACGTCACCTAACCTGGTGGGGCTCTTTTGTTTTGCAGTTCACCTTTTTTTTTTCTTCAACAAACCTTTCACTAAACAACCCAAGAAAACTAAAAAAAAATCCCTGCCTTGAACTGAAACAATCTAATCTTGCCTCAGCTCTTGTTACAGAGCCATAACCACTTGCCAATTGCTTGCCTTGTCAAAGCCCATAAGGAGACACGTTGAGAACAAAGATCCAGACGACGGGCAGCAAGTAAGAAAACTATTTGTGACAAGGTAGTCAATGATTATTTTTTAGCGTAAAATGGTGAATACTACTGGAAAATAATACTGTATTACGTTTTATTGGAGATAAAAAGGGAGAGTGCTAGAGCTCCCTGGAGCAGAGGTGAATTAGCAATCGTTAAGAGAGAAACCAGAGTTGTAATCCGGGGGCAAAAAGGCAGACAACTGCCCCCTCCCCTCTGAAGAATAAAATTCATTTCAGGTTCTATCTTTTATTTAAGGAGAAATCAAAAAAAAAAAAAAACCTGGATAGGAATTAATCTTCACAGATTTAATTAGAAGGCATCAAAGGGTTTAATTGCAACTGAACATAAATCACAGTGGATATTCTCTGACTAATTTAGATAAGGTCACCAAGAAAATTAGTTCAGTGATGTCGGTTTGTCATAGAGGGGGGGGGACATTTTGGTGCTTTTACGCGCTGTGTAGCACAATTCCACCCTTTGTCCTTTCCCGGGAATGTGTGACCTTCCTTGGACTTCAGCCCTGTAAGAGCAGAGCAGATGACTTCTGTTTTTCTGCAGGCTTTGACTGTGTCCTTGGAACCCTAAAGGGGGAGGTTTTTTTGCTGTTTTAAATAACGCTGAGGTTCCAACTCATCGGCCAATTTTAAATGCCTTCTGTGTGTTGTTCTGGTAGCTCAAGAAGCTGGACTGAGGTTTGAGTGGGGAAGAGCTTGAGTTGCTCCATGCTGCAGAGGAGCCAAGGCTTCAAACTTCAGGGTCAAGGGAAGATGGCCTAAAGTAATCTCAGTCCGCTTCCAAGTTCGATGTCACCAGCTGTTAATTATTATCCACTGGCTAAGATGTGCTTTCAAAACATCTGTGGTAGGGAATGTTTGTTGGACAAAAGTGACCTTGATGGTCGCTGGTTGGGCGAATGAAGGAATAACTTCAAACTTCAGGGTCAAGGGAAGATGGCCTAAAGTAATCTCAGTCCGCTTCCAAGTTCGATGTCACCAGCTGTTAATTATTATCCACTGGCTAAGATGTGCTTTCAAAACATCTGTGGTAGGGAATGTTTGTTGGACAAAAGTGACCTTGATGGTCGCTGGTTGGGCGAATGAAGGAATAATGAAAATCTTCCGCTACTTTGTGATCTTTTAATGAGCATAAAATGGGTGGAATACTTGTTAATTCAGCCTTCAACAGAGTGGCCAAAGACTCTGAAGGCGGTCATTGGTGCTTCTAAGAGTTTTTCCAAGCGTGGCATTTAGAGGTGATGTATGAGAATGTAACTTTTCTGGCTCAGATATATGCTATATTAACAGCCAGTGGCATTTGTGGCTTCTGGATGTGTGTAATAAATGGGTGGAATACTTGTTAATTCAGCCTTTGACAGAGTGGCCAAAGACTCTGAAGGTGGTCATTGGTGCTTCTAAGAGTTTTTCTAAGCATGGCATTTAGAGGTGATGTATGAGAAACATGCTATGCTAACAGCCAGTGGCATCGTGGCTTCTGGATGTGTGTAAGTTCAAATAATGGTGGCTTTTGAAACAATGGAATTTGGGGGTTTTTTGCTGCTGAGGTTGCTGTGGCTTTACTGTACGTGACCAAATGCTTTTGGAGATGGTGTCAGACCCCTGTGCAGCCTATAAGTAGGGGTTTTTTTTGCTCCATGTAGAGCATGGGCAAGTGCATCTGCAGCTGCAGGTATCAGAAACTGGGAAAGAAGAGGAGTATGAAATGCAGAACTAGGCAGAGACACATCTTACTCAAATCAAGGGGCAGATACGCCTCAAAGAGCTGCTCAAAGTTCAGGGGCAGTCAGGGAGGTGGAGGTAAGGGGGCGAGTCCTCCACTCAATGAACAAATGCTGAAGGTATGATTTTTTTGTTGTTGTCTGGGAAATATTCTGGATGGATTGTGACCTCCAGTCTGACAGACTCGCACCGTCTTGGCCATGCCTGGTCAGGGCTCCTTAAAGGATGTCGTCCTGGTTCCACCTCAGGGTGGCTTGTGACATCTGAAAATATTCAAGGCTTCCAAGCGTTAGTGCTTGGAGCTGAACACCAGCTCTACAAACAGGTCTTGGTTTCAGCTGCAGAAGCGAAAGGTACCAAGCACCCTGCAGAAACAGACTTCATTTGCATACGTGGCTTTAGATATTAAAGTCGGAAAGTCCTGAAAGTGTAATTACTCTTTAACTCTCTCTTGACTGGAAATAGGGGTCAGTGAACACTGAATGGCTGGAGGTTAGGTGAGACTAAAAACCGTATTAGCTGTAAAATGTGTACTTTACCAACGTAATCGGAGAGATTCACAGTCTTGGCTTTTATTAGCAATCCTTCTTCCGCTAGCTCTCTGTACAGGGAATCGATGGTCCTATGGGCAAGAGACATCACTCAGAAATCCTAGGGAACTGCAGGTAAAAGCTTAGTCCTTCAATAACTGAACTAGCTTGAGAGTTATTTATGCTCCCTCAGCTTCATAAATGTGTTTTGTGGCTCAGAAGTAAAGGTGATGAGCTCCATCAATATGAAATCAATAAGTAGAGTCTTCTGGGTTATGGCAAGGAATCTCTCTCATTACCTCCCACACCGCTCAGCTCCCTCTCACGCTAGTTCCATCACCCATTTCCAGGTGACGCAAGATCAGTTATGACTTGTGTAATAGACTCATTCATTAATATCAATTACCGGGAAATTATTTCTAAATTATATAATAATAGCAATCCTAACACCACTATACCTATTCACTTAGCTCTCCAATTAGTAGTAATTCATTAATTCTTCCTGGAATTTATTCTGTTTGCAGTAGACAGCCGCATCTGGTCAGGAACATACTGGGCATGACTCAGGTGGAGCAACCAGTGGTCCATCTACTGCAGTGTTAGGGTTATATTGGCCAAAGGAGGATTGGGGGAAAAACACAGTGGAAACTGTGGCGTCATTTCTCCAGTAAAATGTTTTTTTCCTATTTTCATCAGGGGTAAGAAATAGCTCCCAATAATTGAGGATTTAATACACTTGTGTCCGGTTTTTTAGTGGTGCAGATATCTGTTTTGGAGTTCTATCTGAATATTAATTTCAGAGGCATTTTTGGCATTGGGTTCTACAGATTGATACTGCTTCAAGAATTACATAAAATGAATAAGCCTATTGGAAATTTTTCTTATATGGTTAGTGTAGACAATATTGATTTGAACCTTTCTAGGTCTTTGACATCCTTTCTCTTCAATATCTGAGGATTTTAGTTTTTGACGCCTTTCTTAATGGGAACATTCTGCTATTTCCAAAATAAAAATATTTAATAGTCACTTTCGGCTGGCTAGGAAACCATATATATAATTTGAGGTCTGCAGCCCTTTTCCATTTCAGCTGGGAAGTTTTATGTTTATGCAGTGTTAGTGGCACAATTAATATAGGAGTAGTAATAAAGAAATAGTAAATTTAACGCACCTTCAACAACGTTGATTTTGCCACTCTGACTCTTGCTTTCATTCTCAGTGATTTTTATGTTGGAGTATGCATCATAAAACAAGCAGAAGGCAGAATGGGATGAACCTGACAGTTCTGTTGGGAGCATGACTTCTACTTTTCCTGTCTTATTATCTTTACTGTGCAAGCTTAATGATGCATGCCCTGAGTCTCCTCCAAGTAAGTGTGATGTGATCAGTCTCTGTTGACTAAAGCCTCCTGTGCCCCTTCCACCGTGTCAAAAATGAGATGAACCTGAGCTTCTCTTGGTTCTTTCTGAAATACTCCCTCCTTCCCTGCTCACAGGGACGAGCAAAGTATTGGAGAAAAAAATCACAGAAATCACATGTGGTTGGAAGGGACCTCTGGAGATCATCTAGTCCAACCCCCTGCCAAAGCAGGGCCACCCAGAGCAGGTCCCACAGGAACGTGTCCAGGCAGGGTTTGAATGTTTCCAGAGAAGGAGACTCCACCACCTCCCTGGGCAAATGCCACATAAACTCTGATTAAAAGCCAGCTACTAAAAAGCTTGTGTTCTTAAGCAGCTGTATGTTTGATTAAGTTTATTTATAAGAAGCAGGTACGTGCAAGGGTAATTTTAAAAGCATAGAATATATGCATACTTGTTAGACTTTGGTGCTTGCAAGGGAGGTCATGCTCTGTTCTAATCCATGATGTGTTGATTTTAAATATTTGCTTGGAGAGCTTTTTTTTTAATTTATTTTAAAGCTGGTAAAGAGATTGTTTATGCAGTGCTAGCACCCGAATGATCTAGTCCAGGTCTTGCTGTGTGTGTGTCTTACACAAAGGGATTTGTGGGGTGAATCCCATGCGCTTTATCCTGCAGTGATTGAGTGAGTGTGTGTGTCTTCATGCTGTATCTAAAGGGTGAGTTGAAGGATGTTGGAGCTGGACTCTTTTCAGTGGTTTCCAGCAATAGGACAAGGGGCAACGAGCTCAAGCTGGAACATAGGAAGTTCCATTTAAATATGAGAAAAAACTTATTTACGGTGAGGGTGAGGGAGCACTGGAAGAGGCTGCCCAGGGAGGTCATGGAGTCCCCTTCTCTGGAGATCTTCAAGCCCTGCCTGGATGCTCCTGAGTGATGTGCTCTGGGCAACCCTGCTTTGGCAGGGGAGTTGGACTGGATGGTCTCTAGAGGTCCCTTCCAACTCTGACAATTCCGTGACACCTCTGTGTTGGTGCCTGCATTATATGCACAGGTGAAAAACGGCCAGATGATGAGTGAACGCACCCAAAGCTCACCAAAAAGGTCACGTCACAAAAAGAAATCCTCTCAAATCCCCCAAATAAAATAAGAGCGCTTAAAAGAGCAAGGACACACCAATTGCCAGACCTGCCAGAACTCTTAATTGCTAAATAAGGCTGATTTAATGGCATGTATGTTTTACATAAGGTGTGAAGGGTGATTTATAGAGCACAGGGGCCTGCCTGCAGCCTCCCTTCTCAGGCTTCAGCTGGGATGGAAAAATCTGACCAGGTCAGCAAAACTGCCAGGTGCCTCCTGCACCTGCGGAGAGGATGGCAAAGAGGGACAATACCCTGCCGAAAATGCCCCGCGTGCTGAGCTTTGCATACCAGAATCTAACCTGAACTGAAGCTGATGGGACCCTGGCTCTAGTGGTGTGGTGCTGCAGAATGATGGTCTTAATTTGTAACGCGTTGTTGAAGATGGAGGGGGAGAAAAAAAACCAAAACAGGTCTGTGCTGGGTACCCTTAAAGCCCTTTTTCGTTGCCCTGTTATTTATGGTGGTGTGAAGTCACGGAGGGGTGGTGGGGAAGTTGTAGTCTTCACTGGGAATGCAAAAAAAAAAAAAGGTTTTAGCTGAAGTGTACGTGCGTCAAGTTTGTGAAAGATAGATTATTATTTTTTTTATCATCTAGGCTTTTTATGGATGTTTACAGCTGTCTTATTTATAGCAGGGCTCCTGATAAGTGTAGCAGGGTTGAGGTGCTCCTTGTGTAACTAAAAACTAAATGGGTTGGTGGCACATCTAATGCAGAGAGGATGCACTCTCCCACTGTCTGAACCTCAAGTAAACAGGTCCTCTCTTTACCTGTCAGGAGTTAGATCTTCCTCCATCTCAGATATCTTCTTCTTCGTGGTCGTCTTTTTTTTCTGAGGACCATAAAAACAAGTTGGAATTATTGACATGTATACATATATATATATTTTAATGTACTGAAGCAAAGTGTGGGCCAGAAGAGCAAATCTTTCAGTATTTGAACGTGGCCCTTGTTACTGAAGCAACCCAAAGGGAAAAAAAATCATATCCTTGAATGCCTTGAGGGAAAGAAGTCATGTTCTCATTTATAAAAGCACAGGAGATGTTCCCATTTATAAGTCCCTCACTAAGGCATGGGAGAGGTGAAGAACCCTGGGCTGAGGAGCTGTGTCCAACCCACAAATCTCATGCAGATCTTCTGCCAGGTGCCCTTCAAATGGACTTTGCATGAAGTAACCTGGTGGCTGTTGCTTCCTTCTAGACTATAGCTCCTTGGGGAGCTTATATACCTCATCTGCTTCTGTCATAGAATCATATGGGGTTGGAAGGGACCTCTGGAGATCATCAAATCCAACCCCCCCACCAGAGTGGGTCTACCTAGAGCAGGTTGCACAGGATCTTGTCCAGGTGGTTTTTGAATGTCTCCAGAGAAGGAGACTCCACCACTTCTCTGTAACCGCCTCAAATTGTGCCCAGAACATCATACTTCAAAGCAATCAGTCCTGCTCCTTCCAGTAGAGGCTGCACACAAAAGAATCCCAGGGTCACTTGCCCCAAGAGATAACTCCTCTCTCCTTTTTTGGAGCACAACTCTGTGGTTTGAGTGGGCATTGCCCTCATCCAGGAGGGAAGTAGGAAGGCAAAAGGTGTGGGGTCCAAGTAGCTGCTCCAGAGGCTATCCATGCTGCTTTTTTTTTGTTGTTGTTTGTGGGTTTTGTTTTGATTTGGTGGGGTTTTTTTGTGGTTTTTTTTTTTTTACTTTGGAGTAAAATCTAAGCAGCTTCCCTGAGATCACGCAGAGTCCTTACAGCTGGACCACAACCTGAAACCAACCTTTGTGAGTCTCTGCCCAGCTTCCTATCCATCAGATATCCTTTCTGCCTTTTTTTTTTTTTACTTCCTAATGCCTTGGGGAGGAAGCTTGAACAGGTCAGAAAAACATGACCTGCTCCTCTCGTGATATTTTCTCCACACTTTCACTATGGGAAGATTTTATGACTGGGGTGACTACTCTCTTTACGTACTGCAAAAAAAAAAAAAAACCCATGAAAAACATAAATAAGAAAGATGTGAATAAGTAATGTCAAGCACCTCCATTAATTATGGCTCTCAAGCCATAAATATGGTTAGGGATAATTAGTAGTGGAGAGGGCATAATTAATCCACGTTAGTGCCCACCACTGGTGTCCATGCTTAAGTTCCGCAGAGCACTTCAGAATTAGTTTAGTGGAACTATTTACACAGCCACATTTATGCACTATGGGACTTCTCCAAACAGCTTAAATTTAGGCATGTGCTTAAATGCTTGGTTGATAAAGACAGCTTATTCTTTCCAAAAGTTTATGTTTGCTTTCCTGGGAATGCAGTCGTTTACTTGATTTTGACAGCTTATTCTTTCCAAAAGTTTATGTTTCCTTTCCTGGGAATACAGTCGTTTACTTGATTTTTTTAATAGTGAATAATTCTGCAGAGCTCTAGAGGCTATGTTGTTAGGGAAAAAAAATATCCTCTCCAATTAGCTGGAAAATGCTGGGGTTTTCCTCTAATGGATCAGCAATATTCAGAAATATATTGATTTAAAGTTTCTGGGGACAGTTGCAGTATAAATAACCTATGGTTCAATCACCTGTTAGTGTTTACAATGCAACAAAGCTAATCTAGATGAAAATGTAAATTAAATCCCAGAACTATATGGACATGCTATCTGGGAAAAGGTGATGTTTTTAAGTCTTGGATTAGAATAATGCAAATAACTCTGTGCAGAATTACACCTCAGGTTTCTTTACATAAATAAGCTTGGCAGCAAATACTTTCTAGAATGTGCCACTGGGGTTTTGGTTTTAAAGAAAAGGAATGGGAAGAACAAAACATATGCCATGCTGTTTTAACAACTGAGGAAATATTGAGACTGTCAGCAGTTTTCCTGGTGTTCCTCCAGCTTTATCTCTTTAACCTTTCTTCCAACAAGCTAGAAATTACATATCGTGGGGTCTGACTGGGAAGACAAGCTCATTTCTACCTATGTAAAGACACTAAGCATATGTTGAATTTATTGGCCAACTGATACTGTCCTCAAGGCAGCTTCACCAATAAAATAACAAAAAATGAACTATGCAGGGGGAAAAATGTGTTTTCCTAATTAACATCAGCATTTATGGGAAATTTGGCAAACCCTGAGATGCGATAAGGGGAAATATGAATTGTAGACAATGGCTTTCCTCCAAAATGTCTTACTGGGAACTGCTTTTATTTAGAAAATGATAAAGTTTAATGAATGTGAACATGCTCATCATTTATAATGGAAATCTCCTTCTTTCTATCTCTGAAATGTCAGTCTAGCTTCTGTGTAGCCATCCATTTACTCAGGTATTTTCTGCTTTGGTAAGTCACACGTAGTGAACTGCATTAGTTATCGGTTGGCAGATGACAGAAGACTATCTTCCGTGCTCAGTGTGGTATCTTGTCTTGCTGTCTGGGCTCATCAAAATGTTTTGAGTAGCTCAGAGGTTGCTATGAGCAAACACAGACCTGATTTGAGAGCAGATTCCGGAGCAGAGAGTCCCTGGCACCAGAAGGGAGAGGGCAGCCAAAATGTCTCATTGAGGGAACTGGTCCATGTTGGAACGGCAGGATCTGCAGTCACCCTTTGGCTGTGATCATACAGGTCCTGCTGCCATCAGCTATCTGCAGCTACTGCCACCAAATATGAGGAAAGTAACAACAGGAAAGTACTCCTGAGGTTGAAGGGAAAAAGCAGTGTAAAAACAGCAGTCTCTGAAACGCTTGAGTGGGCTCCTTAGACCATATGTGATGCTTGGATGGGAGGCTGAGTGAGTGTGGATTTGCTCCAGGATTGAGAAGCCTTTTCTGGCAATGTCAAGATATAGAGAGCAGCTTCTGATACTTGTAATTACAAGTCCTTAAAGTTGTTCTCACTGATTATTAAGCTCTTGCTAAATGAGGGGCTCTGATCGGTGATCCCTGTTGGATTTAGCTACACCATCCAAAGAGGCTGCAGCCCCTACAGCTGGCTGGGAGCTCTGGGTGCTAATGTCCATCAGCTACAGAAAATCCAATAGGGATTGTGAATTGCTGTGAATTCGTGTCATAACCACTGCTGAAGTTAACCTCTTGTGGTTTTCTTTGCTTCTGCCCGGCTGCGTCAAAAAGGGGCATCTAAAGCTGCGTTGAGACGGCAGCAAGGCCTATTTCAGAAGCAACTTTTACACACTTTAGGTTCCCATGGCCCCTTTTTTTTCTGTTTTGTTCTGAATTCTGGCCATCCCTTTGTGTGTGGGTGGGTGTGCTCACTTGCAACGGGTTGCTTTACCTGCAGTTGGATGGGAAACAAATCCCTGGGGGAGCAGTGCAGGAAAAGCAGCACAATGGGCCTGATAAAAAGCACTCGGATAAGCACTCAGATGTAACTTCCAGGTCAGCAACTGCAGAGAATTAGAACTGACCTGTTAGCCCTTATGTTGGGTGGAAAGCCAGTTGAAAGCAGCTAAGGTCTGTGGTGGTTTACTTGGCTGCAGATTCCCAAGAGAAACACCCTCAGCTGCTAAGCCCATTGGGTGCCGTGGCATCCATCTGGAAGAAACAATTGTAAAGCTGGTGGGTTGTGTTGTGCCACCCAGATCAGAAGCTTGGGCCGTCAGCAGAAAGGCTCAGAACAGCAGCATGTCACCAAGCTGGGTGGCAGTGTCGACCTGCTGGAGGGCAGAGAGGCTCTGCAGAGAGATCTTGACAGGCTGGATCGATGGGCCGAGACCAACGGGATGAGGTTCAACAAGGCCAAGTGCCGAGGCCTGCACTTGGGTCACACCAACCCCCTGCAGCGCTACAGGCTGGGGGCAGAGTGGCTGGAGCTGTCCCAAGGCAGAAAAAGATCTGGGGGTGTTGGTCGACAGTCAGCTGAACATGAGCCAGCAGTGTGCCCAGGTGGCCAAGAAGGCCAACAGCATCCTGGCCTGTGTCAGGAACAGTGTGGCGAGTAGGGCCCGAGAGGTGATTGTCCCTCTGTACTTGGCACTGATGAGGCCTCACCTCGAGGGCTGGGTCCAGTTTTGGGCTCCCTACCATAAAAAAGACATAAAGGTGCTGGAGTGGGTCCAGAGAAGGGCAACAAAGATGGTGAGGGGTCTGGAGAATAAGTCTTATGAGGAGAGGCTGAGGGAGCTGGGGGTGTTCAGCCTGGAGAAGAGGAGGCTGAGGGGAGACCTCTCTACAACTCCCTGAAAGGAGGGTGTAGAGAGGTGGGGGTCGGTCTCTTTTCTCAAGTCACAGGCGACAGGACAAGAGGAAATGGCCTCAGGTTGCGCCAGGGGAGGTTCAGGCTGGATATTAGGAAAAATTTTTTCACCAAAAGGGTTATCAGCCATTGGAATGGGCTGCCCAGGGAGGTGGTTGAGGCCCCATCCCTGGAGGTGTTCAAAAGACGGGTTGATGTAGTGCTGGGAGGTATGGTTTAGTGATGGTGTTGCTTTTTGTTTGTTGTGCGAGTGTCTATTTTTGTCAAAGTTAGGTTGACAGTTGGACAAGATCATCTTGAAGGTCCCTTCCAACCTAAAAGATTCTGTGATTATGTGAAAAAGTTTCGCGCTAGCACAAGAATGACACCAACTTTTTAGAAATGAAATACTTTGGAAAATGCTAGCCCTTTCTCTTTCACTTTAGGTCCTCTAGGCTGGGTGGGGACTTGGACCTCCTGACTTCTCTTTGACAGCCTTCCTCGGCATCAATGCCATATCCCTCACTACTAGGAGTCAATCTCCCTCCAAATCTTTCCTCAGGCTGTTTTTACACAGATGCTTTCTGTGCTCCCTGCCAGCTTGCTGATCCGTGGCTGGGCAGATGACAAGCTGCCACGGCGTGTAGTGAAGAAAAAGACAATTTACAGCAGATTTGAACCATGTTCCTTTGTTTCTGTTGTATCCTCATCCCCTCTCCTGTGACAGTCAGCGGATCAGGAGCTAACTGGAGCCTGTGGGGTAAGATGCTTCCAACGCGAATAGAGGCACAGGATTTGTGCCTCACATCATAGCAGCATGGCTTGTTGCATACTAGCTGCAATCTAATCAGTTTTAAGTATTTTCAGACCAGCCTGATGGTCTGGACACCCATTTGTCACGTGAAAAGCAACGTGTCCTTCCACCCAAAATGATTCTGCCACAAAGGTGGCAAAGGGGCCCTTTATCGCAGGAGCAGCAAGGGTAATTCCTGGTAGGCTTAAGTGTCAGCTTTTAGTATTAAGTGGTATTTGAAGGTTTGGGAGCCAGTGATAAAATTCAGTCCGAAAAGTACAATGCATGGAAATAAAGGAGTGGTCTATACGTATAGCTGGAGCTGTTAAATTTTGTCTATGCAAGACCTGAGACATTTGAAACGCTGACTGGGAGGGAGCAATTAGCTTTTCCTTTAGAGTCCAATTCCAAAATATCCTTGCTGAATTCCCCACAAAAGGGACTTCCAAACAGGTTTTCAAACTCAAATTATTTTCTGTGGATCTGGCAGGCTTTTATAAATATGGGCTTGTCAGAGTTTTAAGTTGCAAACTAATTATCCGAAGGTGTGCTTGACAAGGCAGAGGACATCTATTCTGCACACCTCCACATAGTGACTGTTCCTTGACAACAAAAAAAGCCCTAGTTCTACTGTGATGTCCTTGTGCAAAGAAAGTAGAAAAAAATCCCTCCTCACTACAAAGGGGATGGGCAAATGTGGCATTGAGAGTTTGGGGTAACTTCCCCTCGACAGAAAATTCCACGTGTAAGAGTCCACTTAAAGGGATTACTCTTGCTGCCCATTCCCCATTGGATTCCTCTGAAGAATGTTGAACCCTCCTGAGAGGCTTTTCTTTGCAGAACGTCTCTTTTTAGGCAAATAGTTTGACATGGTGGCCCAGATGTGTTCATGCTTACAGTGAACATCCAAACCCACTGTTATTTCACGTGGTGTAGTTGGGGGGAGATGTATGGGACCTAGGATGTGGCCTTGAAAAACTAGAGGGATTTTTGCTGAATAAGAAATTAACAAGCTGCTTCCTAAACTTTCCAGATCACGTTATTCTTGTTATATGGGCCAGATTTTCATAATGCAGATCTGAAGTCTGTGTGCTCAGGTATGTACGCACTGTGTTGGTTTATGGATTGAGATATTTATGCAGATACTAATTAGAAAGAGCCTTTGCCAATGTCAATTGAACACTTCAAATAGTTTTGCGCAGGGAAAATGTGTTTTGACTAAAACTGGGTATCTCTTTCCATTCCCACCCCTAAATAGAACTGTGTGATTATATTTTTTTTTTCTTACCCTACCAGATAAAATCTTTAGGGAACTTGCATTATTTAATTAGTACTTCTTCCCCCCCCTCCCCTTCCCTCTTCCCCCTCATTCTCTCAGGCTACTGGCACAACTTGGGAAAACAAAAGTTAAATAACCTCCCTCCACCCAAAACCATTCCAATCCTATCTACTGAAGGGGGGGGAAAAACCCCAAGCCCAAATCCTAACATAAAGCTTTATAATTGCAGCGTGATATTTTGAACCAGTTCTGACCAGCTGATCTAAATGCATCTGCCCATGACAACCTTGGGAAGATTGTTGCAATATTTTGTCTATATATCTTAAGCCTCCCTATTTTTGAAACAGATTTAGCAATCCAATTGGTATCAGCTCTCAGGGTTACTCCAGTCTCGTGTTATTAAATTGCCCCTGCACGTTTGTCAGACAAAAGAGCATTTTTAAAGATAATTTGAGTAGAAGTACAGCAACAGCAAGTATTTGCATGCTAAAAGGGATTATAGAAATGAAATACAACATGAGATTAGGGCTGGCTATTTGCCCTGAGGATTTTAAGTGGATCTGCTGATTGAATGGTAGGGTCTATAAGCGTTGAGTTATTTTGCACTGACATGATCTATAGTTTAAATGTTTAGGTAAGGAATTAGGGGAACCAGAAGCTGTGGGACTCTACGTATGGTAACGCTGCAAAACTAGATGTGTGCTGTTTTTCAGTGGGTAACACACATTAAAAAATATATATCTTTAACATATTTTACATGCTTAAATAAACTTGGCTTAATTACAAGTTGCCAAACCCTTCAATAGTATGTGTTCCCAACCCTTCAATGTGTACCTGGCTGTATGTTATCTATGCGTTAGAGATAAATGAAAGGTTACACCAAAATATTCAAAGTGATTTTTTTTGTTTCTTCTTCTTTTTGGTGTACAGTTTTGAAACACAATAACCAGTCCTCATTTAGGAGGAAAACAGCCAGCAGCTAAAAAACTTACTGGCACCCAGATCCACGCCTTCCTTGGAAGACTGAATTAGTCTGAACCTGTCACCCTAAAGAGGGGCTGCTTGGATTTTCCTGTTTGATTGGATTACAGGATTTCAAAAGTCTGTATTCTTCTTGAAAGTCTGATCTGTCTTATAATGATTTATCTCTGGAATAGTTCAGCTTGTCCTAAGCAATATTTATAAAGGTTAAGAAATAATAATAGCTAAAGGAAAAGGCCTTGAAGAAAGCCACAAGTGAATAGATTTTTTTTTTTTTTTAAACGCTTCTGGCTTGAGAGTCAGTAAACGTTTAGGGTGGACATTTTCATGTTGGTATCTGTGAGACTAGGGTTTGCACTGAATGCTAACGTATCTGGGCAGAAAATTGAGATTTACCTTGAATTCTGCCAACTTGCTGCTCTTACCTTTTCACTTTTTCTTCCTTTTTTCTGTTTGCTGCTCTTCTCTCCATCCACAGCCAGTTTGAGACGCTCCAGTTTCTGTTGCATCAATTCATCAACCTAGCCAGACAAACACAGTTGAATCTAAGTCTTCTGTTCTGCCACCACACTTCAGACAAACGTTCAGCCAGACAAGGGTTAAAGCAAAGAACCGATAGTAGGGACTCTGGAAGGAGGTAAGGTCTATGCCAGGGCCAGTTCTTACAGTTGTAGAGAAATATGTACAGGCAACACACGTTATTAGTGTCCTCTTACTATTGTAAGCACACCTGCTCTCTGATCTCTTCCTCCACTTCTTCCCGTTTCTCCTCTTTGATCAGCTCTGGGTCATGATCCTGGAAAAAATCCCATCCCTCGTCTCTGTTCTGCCAAACGGCTGTTATCCAAAAAGAAAGAGAAAAGGGGAAAAAAAGTTACAGAAGCCATTGGTTTCTCCAACTGCTTCCAGAGGCAAAAAATAGGTAGTTGTAGGCAGCCTTTATTAAATTATTATTATCTGTATGAAAGTAGTAGGCTCTGTGGACCTTTACCAAGTTCAGACCCCTGTTGTGTGAGGATCTGTAAATCTGGAGGTTAACTCCTTTCTTTGCCTCGGGCTGTAAATTGGTACCAGATTTCGGGAGGATAATGGGATATGGAGGTTGTCATTTTCTGGTTGTAAAGCAGAATGCCTGGAGTGGTGTTCACCTTCAAAAGCAGGCAGTACAGCATCGGCCAAACCGTGGCATGCCTGATGTTGGCATTCTTATTCTTTCTGCTTTAATTACCAGGAAGAAGTCAAAGATGACTCCTGTCCTTCAGAACATGATCTCTACACGTGTCTCTTGGCTGGCATAATGAAGGCTTGGGGACCAAAGGAAGGTGTTTAATTTTAAACTGGGAAGTTTCCTCGTTCTCTCCTGCTCGGTTATCTAATGAGAAGGTAAAGCTGCTGTAAGCTCATGAGTTAGCCTTTGTGGTAATTAGCAGGAGGCTGGAATATGGGCCAGGAGCACTGGAAGAGGTATAAAATCCTGCACTAAGCCCGTGGAAATAGGAATGAAAGGACAGTGAGTCCAACAGCAATAATCTGCATCCAACACACAAGTGACATAGAGCCACACGGAGTTTTAACTCCATCTGGGGAATTTTAAGCTTGATGGAGTAATTGAGCAGCAGGTGAAGTCTTTTCCAAAAAGAGACAAGGCCCACATGATACAGCACCTTTATTTCTTAGTGTTTGCAAAGGTGTGATTCTGTGATAAATAGACCTAGATCTAGACCTAGTTCCTAGACCTAACTCTAGGAACAAAGCAAGCTTGTGCAAACTGATGATTAAAAAAAACCCCAACAAACAAACAAACCCCAAACCCAAAACCACCCTGTTTGTGATAAAGTAGGTAATGATCCTGAGGTGCAGTCCTTTATCTTTGCTGAGGCAAAAAGTTTGCACTTCGGAAATAAAACTAAGTGAAGTCTGTCAAGCTTGGTGCAGGTCTGAACACTCCACTATTAGCATTACCTTTTTAATGGAAATGCCTCTCTTCTTTCTACATTTTTTGAGCTAATATGAAGGAGGACAATTCATATCTTGCATTTCAAGCCACGAAAGCATCCTTATAAATGACAGCTGACCTCCAGCAGTATGTGCTATTAAAGCAAAGAACCGATAGCAGGGACTCTGGAAGGAGGTAAGGTCTATGCCAGGGCCAGTTCTTACAGTTGTAGAGAAATATGTACAGGCAACACACGTTATTAGTGTCCTCTTACTATTGTAAGCACACCTGCTCTCTGATCTCTTCCTCCACTTCTTCCCGTTTCTCCTCTTTGATCAGCTCTGGGTCATGATCCTGGAAAAAATCCCATCCCTCGTCTCTGTTCTGCCAAACGGCTGTTATCCAAAAAGAAAGAGAAAAGGGGAAAAAAAGTTACAGAAGCCATTGGTTTCTCCAACTGCTTCCAGAGGCAAAAAATAGGTAGTTGTAGGCAGCCTTTATTAGATTATTATTATCTGTATGAAAGTAGTAGGCTCTATGGACCCTTACCAAGTTCAGACCCCTGTTGTGTTAGGATCTGTAAATCTGGAGGTTAACTCCTTTCTTTGCCTCGGGCTGTAAATTGGTACCAGATTTCGGGAGGATAATGGGATATGGAGGTTGTCATTTTCTGGTTGTAAAGCAGAATGCCTGGAGTGGTGTTCACCTTCAAAAGCAGGCAGTACAGCATCGGCCAAACCGTGGCATGCCTGATGTTGGCATTCTTATTCTTTCTGCTTTAATTACCAGGAAGAAGTCAAAGATGACTCCTGTCCTTCAGAACGTGATCTCTACACGTGTCTCTCTTGGCTGGCATAATGAAGGCTTGGGGACCAAAGGAAGGTGTTTAATTTTAAACCGGGAAGTTTCCTCGTTCTCTCCTGCTCGGTTATCTAATGAGAAGTTAAAGCTGCTGTAACCTCATGAGTTAGCCTTTGTAGTAATTAGCAGGAGGCTGGAATACGGGCCAGGAGCACTGGAAGAGGCATAAAAGCCTGCACTAAGCCCATGGAAATAAAGGACAGTGAGTCCAACAGCAATAATCTGCATCCAACACACAAGTGACATAGAGCCACACGGAGTTTTAACTCCATCTGGGGAATTTTAAGCTTGATGGAGTAATTGAGCAGCAGGTGAAGTCTTTTCCAAAAAGAGACAAGGCCCACATGATACAGCACCTTTATTTCTTAGTGTTTGCAAAGGTGTGATTCTGTGATAAATAGACCTAGATCTAGACCTAGTTCCTAGACCTAACTCTAGGAACAAAGCAAGCTTGTGCAAACTGATGATTAAAAAAAACCCCAACAAACAAACAAACCCCAAACCCAAAACCACCCTGTTTGTGATAAAGTAGGTAATGATCCTGAGGTGCAGTCCTTTATCTTTGCTGAGGCAAAAAGTTTGCACTTCGGAAATAAAACTAAGTGAAGTCTGTCAAGCTTGGTGCAGGTCTGAACACTCCACTATTAGCATTACCTTTTTAATGGAAATGCCTCTCTTCTTTCTACATTTTTTGAGCTAATATGAAGGAGGACAATTCATATCTTGCATTTCAAGCCACGAAAGCATCCTTATAAATGACAGCTGACCTCCAGCAGTATGTGCTAATTCAATTTCCAGATGATTTAAAGGGACAGCTTTCCACATAGGGTCCTTCATGAACCTGTTTTGTACAGGGCACTCTTTCCTCTACCCACTGCCGTTTCTAAGGCACTACAAATTCAGGAAGGTTTTCGCAGAGCCCATAGGACATCATTCAAGTTTTAGCCCAGTTAATATAATATTAGTGGCCGTCTCCATCCCCTAGGGATTTTCAGAGTCCAATTATGCGCAGAGTGTTTGTGGCTTTACACATAGGGAAGAGTTTTTGCAGGTGAGCAGTCTTAATTTCATAACTGAAAATGGCAGAGATGGAGAAGGAAAGTGGGGTTTTTGAGTAACGAGGAAAGAAACTCAAAGGTATAGACATTAATCTTTTAACATTACTTGCAGGTCATCAGATGGTGTGATAGGTGTCACGTAATACTTCAAGAGGGAAAGCTTGATCTGCCCTCGTTAAAAGGTACCTCCTCCAGGGTTACCAGCCTGGAATTTCAGCCTTGGGGAAAGGGTTTGTTACACAGGAGTTTTGTGAAATTTTTTAAACACTTTCCTGACTGGGTCAACAGGTTGCAAGGGCTATGTTTTCACAGAAGTGATAGGTTTTAGATATTTATTTTCTCATAGAGGGATCCATAGATTTTTTTTATTTTTAAATTCTGTTTTCATAATTGTTTATTGTCATTTTGTTGAGTTGATTAGCGGTTAATATCCACTGCAGGCAACCCAGTGACATTCCCCACAGATTAGGCAGCTGTCTCTCATATTAGCTGGCAATGAGTTTCTTGAGTGCTCCATTAGCCGCTAGGTTAGAGGTCCCTAATTTTAGAGAAGAGATCAATAACTCATAGGTGTTAGATGCTATGTTGTTCTTTTATAGACCAACAAAATGTTTCAAAGTTATTTTTAAAGCAAGGTCAGGAGGCTAAGGATGTTATGTTTTCACTGGCTGGTCAAAAGAGCCTGGTATTTTGTTACAGAGGAGGGTCATCCAGCTACGGGCGCTATTTTTGCATGTGTGTGTACACAGTGCAATTTATATCGGCTCTTCTAAAATAGTGCATGCTTATCTTTGGATTATTTTATATGCATACCTCTCCAGCTCAGGACTCAAGACAGCCCAGCCCACTAACGTGGCTGCAAACACCCCCAATCTCTGCAGACTAGTAGACAATTCCAATATCCCTGAATTGGATATTTTGGAGAATATGAAATATTCAGATATTTCAGAGAACAGCTTGTGACTAATAATCGAGATATATTTATTTGAAGCATGAAGCTTTTTAAAAAAATTACTACTTTCAGTCTCCCAGCAAAAAGATTTGAATCTTTTGATGTCTGGTTAAAAATAGATAATATTACGACACCTTAGAGTTTGGGTCAAGGGGTATTTGGGTTGAATTCATAGAATCATAGAATCACTCAGGTTGGAAAAGACCCTTGGGATCATCGAGTCCAATCATCAACCCCGCTCTACAAAGTTCTCCCCTACACCATATCCCCCAACACCACATCTAAACAACTCTTCAACACATTCAGGGATGGGGATTCAGATATTCAAATATTCTTTCCAACACTGAGCAAGTCAAATATCACTGGCAATCTGTATAATTGGGGAAATGGCACATTGCTGCCTCGCAGCACAGGGTACTGCCAAAAGAAGGAAGATGGAAGTAATGATTCAAACTGCTTATATTTGCTCCACACAAACTCCTGCTGTTCCAGTGTAAAAGTAGGTGTCACTCAGAAACTGGCTGTTTCCAACACCAGTATATAAAGTAAGTGTTTTAGATAGAACTCGGTAAATGTAGTTTAGCAAGTTTGCCAAATACACTTTTAGGAGAATAAAAGTTTCATGAATTCCAGCAGAGTTTAGGTAGCAGTTCTAGCTTGATAGAGGGGTGGAAAAGTAATTGGGGTGGAAAAATCTGTAGCTGAAATGCTTAGATCTTTGTGAAAACTGATCTACATATTTTAAAATTTTTCGGTAACCTAAGAACAAAGGAATTAGTTTCAGGGGATAGCAAGACTTTCTTAATTGTAAGTGTTGGGGTGTGTCTGCCAAAACAAATATGTTTGTTGTTTGGTCAGCTATCATATCAGGTGAACTTTAGATGCCCTCATAAGGGTTTTTTAATTATTCCATTGCAGGCATGTGATATAAACCTTTCTTACTCCCTTACTTCAATGATGTTTTCAAAATCCATGCACTAAAAAATTTGAACTTCTGTGCAAACTGTGGTAGTAACTGGGCTGTTTCTACATAAGAATAGAAAAAAGTTCCCAGTGTAGAAAGACAAACCTCTTTTTTTTCCTAAACAATTATGTTACTGAAATGAAAGCAGGTTAAAATTAAAAATACAAGAAATTGCTTACACTGTTCTGCTCAGAAGTTGTTCTAGACTTGATTCTGGAGGTGTTGAAAAAAAGAACGTTATCCCTGGCTGGATTAAAAGTAAAATTATTCTGAACAACCACCAGGTAATATTGTGATAAAGGGTGTTCTCAATGAAAAGCACTAAGTGCTTGTGAATGAGGCAGGGGGCTGTGCTGCCTGGAGGAATTAACAGCTGTTTACTAAAAATAAATATGGTGTCGAATAGGCTTGGTTTACTAGGAGAAAAAAAAACACCAACCCAAACACCTGAAGCTTAACAGAACAGCTATAGACTCTTCAATGCTTGCAATGGAGCTCTTTCCCCTCTGAGGGTTTTGGGTTGTCCTCTGTGAAGAAAATGGTTCCTTCTTAGGTGCTTTTAGAGGTATGGGAGTAACCATCAGCTCTGGCAGGATGGGTTGGAGATGAGCGTTGGTGTTTAACTCTGAATGCCAAGCTGGAGTCTTTACCTACCTCAAAAGGGGGCTGCCTGTGCCTGCCCTACCTGAGGACGTTATTGCAGGGTGTCTTCAAGCATGACCAGTAGAGAATGGGACAATGGTGGTAGTCACACTGACTGGCTTTAGGTCTCCAATTTAGGTCTCAATGGACAGGCTGCTGAGTTGCCCTTGGGAAGCCTCCTGAGATACCCAGGAACGCAACACCCCCAATTCAGCACTCATCTTCACGTAAAAAGTTAGGGTGACTAACCTCCAAAAGTTATATACTTGCAGAACTAAAAGTAGGTATCTTGTTAGGAACAGCAGTACTGTTGTTTAGATACAGTTTGGGTGACAAACGTGGCCCCCACCCTCTTCTAAACCCCCCTGGCTTGTTATTACTGGAGATAGTCGTGAAATTTGGGAGTTTTTTTTCCTATTAAACTAACCTATTGACCTCTGCAGTGTTTTTATTCCTAAGGCTTGCTGGATGGGTGTGCTGCTCGTGCTGTTTGCTGGCTTTGTGTTGTGAGATGCCATTTCATCCTGAACGTGTAGAAAAGCAGAAGTAATATTCTTGGTCGGGTAAGGTAAGAAGGAGAGATGAATTTGACCCTTATCTAAAACTCGGGCTGACTTCAGGGCGGTTCTGCTGTAGCATTCCAGAGTAGAGTCTGGGCCTAAAGAACTCCTCTTTAGCCATAAAGCTGCTTTATGATTTATAATGTGTAAGAAAATCCTAATTGTTAGAAGTAATAAGCCGGGTGAAACAGTAATGATGTATATTTAGTAAGTTCTTTCTCTCTGGCTAACCAAAATCGTGCGGAAAACTCGATGCCAGTAATTTGTCAACAAAGAGAGAATAATGGAGATTGCTCACATTAGGAATTTTAGCAGAGTGGGGAGCAGAAAAGATATTTTAAACAATTGTTTGAGAATAGGATCAGCACAGAATAGAGCAAAAGTAAACCCTGAAGGCTTTGGATCAAGCACACTTTTGCAGCAGAGGACTTCAATTTGGCTCCTCTGACCTCTGGGGTCCTATAGTGCTGTTTGGTTGTAGTTTGTGAAGCATCTGCTCCTTTCCATTTCAGACAAGTCCATGACTTCCACGCTCACTTCCAGGCCCAGCAGAAGGGACTGCTAATTCTCTTGTGCATCCAGGGAGCACACTGGAGACAAGTGTTTAGGAGACAGACAAAGGTAGGAAAGAGTAAAATGGCCTTTTACGAAAAACGTTTTTTTTTTTTTTAAACTTGAAAAATTCCTGCTTTTGGATGAATTCTCAAAGTGAAAAAAGCAGCCAATCTCCTAGCTATAAGTTTGAGTTACGTTTGTTAAGCCCCACACACTTTGACTGAAACAAGTGTATTCATATTCCAGCAGCATTTCTCATGCCTCTGCTCGAAAAAAATGATCCTCCTATTAAAATACATAATCAAAAATAATTTAATTAGCTGTAGACAGTAGGTGAATGAACCCGTGGACACTTTCCACGAATGAATGACAGCGTAAAGAGTTATAGGAACATGACAAAATCAATGCTTTTGAATTATCTGATATTCAGAAGTCATTTTTGTTTCCCTCAGAAAATGCAAGGAAACCCCTGCATGTACATCAAAGCACTTTTCGTTCCAATTTGGCCACTTTCACTCATATAGAAATGTATCTCCCTGTACAATTAGCTGTGTGGAAAAAAATGATCCTCCTATTAAAATACATAATAAAAAATAATTTAATTAGCTGTAGACAGTAGGTGAATGAACCCGTGGACACTTTCCACGAATGAATGACAGCGTAAAGAGTTATAGGAACATGACAAAATCAATGCTTTTGAATTATTCCATGCTCTCTTCCAGGCCCAGCAGAAGTAACTCCTAATTCACTTGTGCATCCAGGGAGCACACTGGAGACAAGCGTTTAGGAGACAGACAACAGCACCAAGGTAGAAAAGAGTAAAATGGCCTTTTGTGAAAACCATTTTTTTTTTTAAACTTGAAAAATCCCTGCTTTTGGATGCGTTCTCAAAGTGAAAAAAGCAGCCAATCTCCTAGCTATAAGTTTGAGTTACGTTTGTTAAGCCCCACACACTTTGACTGAAACAAGTGTATTCATATTCCAGCAGCATTTCTCATGCCTCTGCTCGAAAAAAATGATCCTCCTATTAAAATACATAATCAAAAATAATTTAATTAGCTGTAGACAGTAGGTGAATGAACCCGTGGACACTTTCCACGAATGAATGACAGCGTAAAGAGTTATAGGAACATGACAAAATTGATGCTTTTCAATTGTCTGATATTCAGAAGTCATTTTTGTTTCCCTCAGAAAATGCAAGGAAACCCCTGCATGTACATCAAAGCACTTTTCGTTCCAATTTGGCCACTTTCACTCATATAGAAATGTATCTCCCTGTACAATTAGCTGTGTGATTCGCTCAATGATGTTGAGAGACTCCTAAGACTTGAAGGTACTGAGAGATTCCCTTCCTAAATACCATTTTACCTAATGTCCTCATTTCTATAGCGTTCCACAGTTTGGGCAGCTGCCCAGCTTGACCTTATAGAAACGGCATTCAAATTAAGCTGAATTAGAAGAACATTCCAGCTGTAATTGTTATCTTTTTCCTACTGACCTTTGTATTGACTGTTTCCTTCCTCCATTATTGAAAGGAAATTACTGGGAGCCATTTTCCAGCCTTCCTCCTCTTCCTAGATTGGTGGTGTGAAAAGAAAGATCAGAATATTAATACATAGAAACTCTGCAAGTACGTAAGGGTCATAACTTTCATTGGATATTTAAAGATTTGTTTTCATTTGAGGGATACGACAGCATTGTTTCAATAAGTAAAATATTCCTAGCAGGAGGTTTTACCTTCTTGAGAGAAGAGAGGGTGTCAGTTCATCAGTTGAACCACTGAAGTTACAGGAATTAAACTTAGGCTTGTTTGAACATGTAATATAGGTAGGAGACTTGTAACATGTAAATGAAATTACCTTGCTATTTTTCAGTTATTCTTAATCTATGGTTGCTCCCCAGAACCTGAAAGGAATTCCCAACTTGTGGGTAATTCCAAGACGTTGAAACCTCATTTTAATTTGTAATCGGAAAGAAAAATGGTGATACTTGTGTATCTTGCAAAGCAAAATATTTTGTTTCAACTTTATCAAGACGCTTTGACGCTTTCCTGTGTAAAGTAAATGATACTGACATGTTCTTGAAGTAGTTTAATTCCATTGAACCAGCATTTCTGAGGGAAAAAGTTGTCAGAAAACGATGAAATGTTCTTCATGCTGCACCAGTCATAAGTCCTCCAAATGTTAGTATGGTAATAGTTATTAATGAGAAATTAGATGACTGTTTGGGGAGGAAATGAACGTGGATTTATGTGAGACAGCACAAGTTGTATAAGGCTTTGGTAGCCAATGTGTAGTCTGTAAGCCACTGGTTATCAGGAAGATTAAAAAGTGCAGTTTCTGGAATAACTTAAAACGAAACAACCCCCTTAAATATGCCTCTGTAATTAGGTGCCATTGCATACCTACTAGATAGAGTTTTGGCCAGGTTATATGAATTATTGAGTATCTATTTTTAATTGAAGTGTTACTACAGAAGAACATGCAAAACCTGAATACATTTATCACTTCTACCCTGTGCCTTAATTAAAAGAATCAGGAGCTTCTTCACTAAATATCAAAAACCTTTTTGGTCAAGCATAACCAATTGTTTGAGGGTTTGACACCCAGAACTCAAATTCCCAGTTATTTTAATGTATTATCCATTTAATGTATTCTCAATTCTCAGTGCAGGGTGTGGCATTTTGAGATTCATGCTTCATCTCTTTTCCAGTAGGCAGAATACATTCCTTTTAATATTCTCCCATGATATTTTACAAAAAATTATTAAATCATGATGTTCTAAGAGGAAATACTGATAACTGCTAACTATTTAGAAACATAGGCAAAAAAACCCCTTACCCCAGAACAGCCTGAAAATGGGTTACTCATTTTTAGCCTCTTCATAGCACAGGACGCATTAAGTTTCTTTTATTGCAACAAATAAGCCAATAAATCATCTTAATTACTAGCTTCAATGATTTTATACGCTGACGTAAATAATATTGTTGTGTCAGTTTCATTGATTTTAATCAAAAGCACTGTTTCAAGGGTGGTTCTGCAGCCCCTCTTCCCTCTAGAAGAGCCAATGTAAAATGCAAAGAACTTCTCTTCCTCTGAAGTCAGTTGATGTATTTTTTTTCTCTGCTGGGTTGATTGATTCCACGCTTGCTCCGTGTCAAGCGCCCTAAGACACCTTGAACCAACAATACGCCTTTCCATCTGAGAGGAGATATGGAAATAACACTTTGAATCTTATTTCTGAAGCTTTCCAAAGCCTAGAGCCCACACAAGGTGATTCTCGCTCAACAGCAAGGGAGAGTTTTGAATGGGCTCCATTGTGCGCTTTCGCTACGGAGATTTGGCTAATGGGTTTCGCCGAGGACAAAATGCTCCTCGTTGTTCAACACTTTCGGGGTGAAATTTAGGGATGCAGAACCTCGCTCAGGTTGGGTGAGACAGGTTGCAGCTCGTTGCTGGGTGAAGCAGTCCATCCAGACTGGTCTAACGGGTTCTGCTATTGAAAAGAGGGATCAGACAGTGCTAAAGGATTTTCTTGGTGGTTTGGGGTTTTTTTTTTTGTTGTCCCCCCTCCCCTCCCCTTAGGTGCCCAACGGGGAAATCAAATCAGCACCTTACAGAGAAAAGAAAACGAAAGAAAACGAAGTTACTTTGATACAAAATACGCCTTTTTGAAGATCGCTATCAGGCTTTTCAGAAATATTCAAATTTCCTTCTGGGATCAAACTTTTGTTTTCTTTAAGAGCTGAAGTTAGGAGCAGGGCTTTTTTTTTTTTTTTTTTTTTTTCCTGCCTGCATTACTATGACTTATAGCCTATACTTATTTTAATAAGAGTCCTGCTGTTAGAACTTTTCCAAATACTTCTCAACTCGTCTTAGACACTATTTTTTCCCCCTGTCAGTATTATAACCTTGGAGAGAATGTTCCCTTTGTTCTTTCTCAATGAACCATAGAGAACCTGATATAATGGCTCAGAATTTTACTTGACAGGACTTGTGATGGCTGAAGAGATGAGAACGACATGAAGTCAGAAAGCCCCAGAGCTCCAGCCTGTTATTTCACCCCGTTTCAAAACAACCTTGCAGAGGCTGTGAGGGGACTGAGATCAATTTTTTGGTATTGTCGGTTCTCATCGAGTGAAACGTGCAAAACCAACAAGGATTCAAATTTATCCTGTGAAAGTCAGGGTTTTTGAGCAGATGGGTGAGTTGCCATCTAGTTTCAAAAGCTTGGGTTGAGTTTGGCATTTTTAGTGTGCCTGAACCTTAGCATCTCAGTTTGACTGAGGTGTCTGGAGCAGCCTCTTCCATTGCCTGTGTGAGACCAGAGGCAACACTGGGCTTTATTCTGGGTCAGCTGAGTTGAGAAGGAGCAAGGACAGGACAAAGCCATGAAGAGGACACCCTTGTGAATGCCCCCCCAAAGGAACTGGGCTGTCTGAGATGCTACAAGCTTCTATAAATGTGCATGACAATGGTCTTTAAAGTCTCTGACCCCAAAAGCTTTTCTTAAGCTATTGTCTTCATTCATGTACTTTATCTGATCTTTCCCATAGAGTTCCACAGTGCATTAGGAAAAATTTTTTCACTGAAAGGGTTATCAGGCATTGGAATGGGCTGCCCAGGGAGGTGGTTGAGGCCCCATCCCTGGAGGTGTTCAAAAGAGGGGTTGATGTAGTGCTGGGAGGTCTGGTTTAGTGATGATGCTCCTTGTTTGTTGTGTGGGTGTCTATTTTTGTCAGTGAGGTTGACGGTTGGACAAGATGATCTTTAAGGTCCCTTCCAACCTAGAAGATTCTGTGATTCTGTGCATGTGATGATTTAAGGGGTCATACCCTGAAGTGGTCCTACAGAGCTAACTCAGGACTAATACATGTTTCTAGAAGTCTTATTGACAGCAAACAAGTTGGTATTATCTAGAAGATTCTGTGATTCTGAGATTCTGTGCATGTGATGATCTAAGGGGTCATACCCTGAAGTGGTCCTAGAGAGCTAACTCAGCACTAATACATGTTCCTAGAAGTCTTAATGACAGCAAACAACTTGGTAGCAGTATTACTTGGCTTAGGTCTGCAGGCATCACGCTTCTCTTTCTTCTCTGTTGCTCCCTCAGGTTGGCTCTGCTCTCCCACTAAGCTATGGTGAAGTGGTACCAGCTTCACTTCACCTTCCACTGCTTGCAGTACGATGCCTTCACTAACCCTGCGATAGACCACCCTGTGATGGTGTCACCCTGATGACAAACGACTGTCTGAAGACGTGTGTGACCAGAATTTAGAACATTTCCTGTGTGCGTAGGAGCAGCCGCTACCCTTCCTAGTTGGTAGTGCAAGATCAAGCTTAAAGAGCTTGGAGAAGACAACGTAAGTATGCCATTCCTTCAGCCCGCTGTGCATCTTGATTTACAAAAAACCCCAAGCCATCCTGAAGCCCCAAACTTAGTTTTGTATGACCCAAACAGTGGTTTTATCTGGCAAAGACACTACCTAAGTTAGAAGTTAACACTTAGATATCTACCTCCAAATTAACTAGACCTAAGCTTCCAAAGTTCATGTAGTTTAGGTTCCCTGCTAGCTGTTAGGAGAGCTTTGGCCAGGTTGATGGATGTTGTCCAAGAAAAGCATCATTTTTTTGTTATATGGCTGTTCCAGGGTTAGGAATTGAAATTGATTTGTGTAAAACTTGCAGTGAGGAGTAAGCTTTGCCCTGGAAAACTCACCCTTCTCCTCCACATACTTGGTGAGAGATAAATGACCCTTATTAAAAAAAAATATTTATATTGTTTCAGCTTTGTTTATACTGTTAAGTAAATGAGAAACAAAAGTTGCTGCTTCAGCAAAAGCCTACAATTTTTGTTGCATGGCTCGCTTTTAGAGATGTCCTTTGGTCACTGCTCTGTTTCACAGGTGTTTTCCTCAATGAGGTCGCTCCTGAAATAATTTGGATTCATACCTTCTGTGAAAGCAGACCTTAGTACATCAAAGGTTTCAGGGAATATATCATACCTTAAGTGCTGTCCACTGTGACTTGAAGCAAAGAGTTCATAGCCTAAGAATGTGGACTTGAAAATGCACAACTGCTATTTACAGGCTTAGAAAATACTGGCTTGCAGTACAAAAGATGCAGCTGGCCTATATGGAAATGTACAAATTTAGTTTGATATACATGTGAGCTCTGATGAAGGTATCTGACTGAGACTAAGGTTCTAATTATCTAGTTCTTGTGTGAAGGGATGGCACTAAGTAACTTCTCTGTACCCAACACTACAAGTGGAAATGCTTGGTTAGATAGCTGGGCACCATTTTGTTGTCTGCACACACAAAAAAAGCAACAGTGCTTTTAAAAGTGCATGCACGTTGTCTTGGCAAAGTGTATTTCTTGGGATAAAATGTATTTTTTCCACTCATCTATGTCTCTGCCAGCCTGCACCTACATCAGCTCTTCCCACTGAGCTGAGTCACGGCCATGCAAATGGCCATTCCTTAGATATGAGAGTGACCAGAATCATCAAGGCATTGGGAAGGCTGAGAGGGACTGGCCTCACCAGTTCTTCTCTCCTCTGAAGCCTTAATGACCAGTCTAATGCAAATTAATAGCCTCTGCCCACACTTTGGCTCTGTTTTCATAAACTAACTGTTTTCACTGCAGGAAAACTTACTTTCTTTCCAGTTTTCTGTGGTTTTTTCTCTTTCGTTTTTTCCTTCCCTCCTTTTTGTTTTTTCTCCTTTTCGGCTTTTTTCTGCAAAGCCATCTCTTTTTTGGCAGCTAGTTCTGCAGCAACCTGAAAGAGACGGAAAGGAAGGTGAAGAGCTGGTCAAATATCTTCAGGTGCAAGGTGTGTTAAAAGTGTGCCTTAAGAGCTATGAAGCAGTGTGTATCTTTCCTCCCTTGCTTTCAGCCTTCCAATATTGGAGGAAATCCAATATATTGGAAATCCAATCTTGGTAGCCCTCTCTGCATTGCAGAATGGTTGACCATCACAGAAAAGTCCTTTTAATTTATGCTGAGGGCACTCCCACCTGCAAACTTTAACATAGGTGCTGACTATCCCAATATATCATAGGAAAAGAGGTGATTTCTGTCCCAAGCTGCTAGGGCTTTCATGGAGTAAGACCAATTCCTGAAACCACGTAGATGTGTAACATCCTAACGACACACAACTTAAAAGTTCCCTCTGGACTTGGGCTCAGATTATGAATTTGTCGTAGTGTTTCTAAGGCAGATTGATTTTTATAGAGATGGATTTTTGAGAGATTGCCCTCAGGCGCGTCTAATTTCAATATGTGGCTCAAGACTGAAATTGTTCTAGCGGGTGAGAGAGATTCAATAGAGATATTGTGACAAACTCTGACAGATACACACGGGTCGCCCAGCACGGGCAATCATACAGCTACATCAATTTCCATAACTTTAGTTCTTGGCTATTTATTATGCAAAAAAGGCAGAGGTTGAAACTTGCTGCTCCTACCGTTCTCTTCTTTCAAGGCACCTTTCATCGTGTTCTTTTGTAAGATCATCTACTGATGAGTGTGAATTGGAAAATCTGTGGCCACTGAAGTTTATGAATGGACCATTAATATTGGGTGGTACCACGCAAGAGTAGAAAATAAAAAAAATCCAATTGTAAGGCATGTTTCCTGTAACAGTAAAAATACTTGTTTTCTAAAGAATGCCTTTTAATGCATTGAAGATGGGACATCGGAAGGGGAACAACGATGAGGGCTTTGCTTTGCAGCCAGTGAGATTTCATTAGTAGATTTCCCCAAGCATTTCAGTATCTTACATTTAATTAAATATGGTAATTTAAATCCCAAGCACCATTCAGTCATATCTTGCGGTGATAAGCAGTGAAGCATTGCATTCCCTGGGAATAGATTAACAGATTGAATAGAGTTCAAAATAGGTTTTTAGTGTCCCAGCAGGTCTTCGTATCCAAAACCAACAGAGCTACTCAAAGTCTATCCTTTACTGGAGCGCTACTACCCTGCCAGAAATCCAACATTTTCACCTCCACCTTCTGCTCTGACTGCCTACTGAAGGGCAACCATAACCATTTCCAGCATCTCAGCAGTGGGGTTATCCAGCACAGAATCCCATGGGGTTGGAAGGGACCTCTGGAGATCATCTAGTCCAACCCCCCTCCCAAAGCAGGGCCACCCAGAGCAGGTCCCACAGGAACGTGTCCAGGTGGGGTTGGAATGCCTCCAGAGAAGGAGGCCACCTCCCTGGGCAGCCTCTGCCAGGGCTCTGCCACCCTCACAGGAAAGAAGGTCCTCCTCATGTTGAGGTGGAACTTCTTCTATTCCAGTTTGTGCCCATTTCCTCTTGTCCTGTCCCTGGGCACCACTGGAAAAAGACCGGCCCCATCCTCTTGACACCCTCCCTTGAAGTATTTATCAGCATTGATCAGATCCCCCCTCAGCCTTCTCTTCTCCAGACTAAAAAGACCCAGTTCCCTCAGCCTCTCCTCATAAGGGAGATGCTCCAGGCCCCTCATCATCTCTGTACCCTCTGCTGGACCCTCTCCAGCAGTTCCCTGTCCTTCTGGAACTGGGGAGCCCAGGACTGGACCCAGTGCTCCAGATGGGGCCTCCCCAGGGCAGAGCAGAGGGGGATGACACCTGTAAGCAGCAGGATACCTGTAAGCACACATGCGATTGACAAAAGGTTTTAAGCAGTATCTTTGAGTTCTGCTGAGCAGATATTTAGGTATCTGGATATTTATATCCAAACTCTGACTGAAATTACCTACTTTTGTGGTTTTATACAGATGAATGGTACTGAAAGGGGTTAATTTAATTAAATATGGTAATTTAAATCCCAAGCACCATTCAGTCATATCTTGCGGTGATAAGCAGTGAAGCATTGCATTCCCTGGGAATAGATTAACAGATTGAATAGAGTTCAAAATAGGTTTTTAGTGTCCCAGCAGGTCTTCGTATCCAAAACCAACAGAGCTACTCAAAGTCTATCCTTTACTGGAGCCCTAGTACCCTGTCAGAAATCCAACATTTTCACCTCCACCTTCTGCTCTGACTGCCTACTGAAGGGCAACCATAACCATTTCCAGCATCTCAGCAGTGGGGTTATCCAGCACAGAATCCCATGGGGTTGGAAGGGACCTCTGGAGATCATCTAGTCCAACCCCCCTGCCAAAGCAGGGCCACCCAGAGCAGGTCCCACAGGAACGTGTCCAGGTGGGGTTGGAATGCCTCCAGAGAAGGAGGCCACCTCCCTGGGCAGCCTCTGCCAGGGCTCTGCCACCCTCACAGGAAAGAAGGTCCTCCTCATGTTGAGGTGGAACTTCTTCTATTCCAGTTTGTGCCCATTTCCTCTTGTCCTGTCCCTGGGCACCACTGGAAAAAGACCGGCCCCATCCTCTTGACACCCTCCCTTGAAGTATTTATCAGCATTGATCAGATCCCCCCTCAGCCTTCTCTTCTCCAGACTAAAAAGACCCAGTTCCCTCAGCCTCTCCTCATAAGGGAGATGCTCCAGGCCCCTCATCATCTCTGTACCCTCTGCTGGACCCTCTCCAGCAGTTCCCTGTCCTTCTGGAACTGGGGAGCCCAGGACTGGACCCAGTGCTCCAGATGGGGCCTCCCCAGGGCAGAGCAGAGGGGGATGACACCTGTAAGCAGCAGGATACCTGTAAGCACAGATGCGATTGACAAAAGGTTTTAAGCAGTATCTTTGTGTTCTGCTGAGCAGATATTTATGTATCTGGATATTTATATCCAAACTCTGCCTGGAATTACTTACTTTTGTGGTTTTATACAGATGAATGGCACTGAAAGGGGTTTAACAGAGTTTCTGTTCTTGTGAACCTGCTATAATGGGACTGAATTGTTGAATTGTCCTTATACTTCTTCCCTCACAAGTTTTGTAAGGCAAGATGATTGTGTTTACTATTTTCAGAACTGCAGTACGAGTTATGGTGCTAAGTTTTCAAGTAATTGCTCAAATAGGGAACAGAGAAAAAGTGAGCACTGAGTGTAATGTACAGTTACACAAAAAACCAGGACTCAGAACACGCACAGTGACTGCAGACATACATCCAAATAACACCTGTCTCCCTCCTGGATAATTTGGCAACATATATGTAGTCTGAGATGCCACATAGTTTTGGTGAAATGCTCCAAATGCTCCCACTCCATCAGCATGTGGAGTCTGTATTTTCTGAATACAGAAAATATTCAGAATTCAGAAATATTCATATTCAGAATATACAGAAAATAGAATACAGGCTCTCTGCTTTCCAAAAGAGAATGACAGAGAAAATACAGTATTTTCTTTTCCACCTCAGATACACCTCTTCTATGCTCCTTTGGTGCAGCCTCTCCAGCTCTGCTTTCACCTCTGCTCTAAGCAGCTTCCTAATTGCAGAGGACTGGGAGCTGGGGTGAAGCTGGCTGTGTACCTAACCTTGAATAGTTTGTACTCTTCTATACAGAACAATTTCCCCTCCAGCTAAAAGAAGATGCCTGAAGAATCTGACAAAAGAAGAGGAAAGAAAGGGAAGGGCAGGTAAAGGTTAGTTTGAGATACTAAGAAATTCACCCACATTATAATACTTTTTTTTTTTTTTTTCCCCCTGAAGAAAACTTCATAGTGGAAATAAAAGCAGATGTCTTCCTAAATTATTTTAGACTGCCCTTTTCTTCGCTAGGCTGCCTCTTCTTGAAACGATTTTGATAGCACTTAGAAAACTCTTAATATTGGGAAAGTGAATTGTGCATCAGTTTAAGAACAGATGAATTTTAGTCTCCTTTTTTTTCTAGTCTTGCTGTAGGACTCCTGTTGTGCTAGTGCTCACTCTTCCTCAGTAATGCTTTCTTCTGAGGCTGAAATGACATTTTCCTCTAAACTTATACACCACAGAAGTCAAATTGATTTATTTTTTTTTCCCTGTTCTACATCAGTTCAAGTGTGTTTCCAAACTCTTGCTGTGCAAATCCCCCTTTTTCTGGGGAAAGAGAGGGGTGCTCAAACTAAGTGTAGCTTATGAATGGAAATGCCTGATGTTGGTTTTGTGAGCCAAGTCTATGAAAACCCCCAGCTGCCAGTAGGACTCACTCATGTCCTATGTTCCTCAGCCACAGAAAGCTTGGTGTTGGCTCAGGCAAGCTGACACTTGAGCAAAGTGTTTTTCCTCAAGAATAAGCCCTTCCCTCATCCCTTAAAAGATGACTTTACTCGAGCCTCTTTTATTTATTAGAGTTGTGGGCATAAATGAACTGTAGGAATGGAGTGAGTTTGGGAATTCTGGATCTCCAGCTGCGGTGGGTGAGAGGCAGACTCAGAGCCTTGTAGATCTGGCTCTGAAACCATTTTGAATGGAAACACTTCATATGCACCTAGCCTAGTGTTCCGGGAGGGAAAATGTTTTCTCTTTGAGTATTAATTCTACAGGAAGTAACTATTTTGAAACCTAAGACAAAAAAAAAATATGTTTTTTCAAGAAAACCGCACTGTTTGAGATGGGAAGAGATGCCATCTCTGTGTCCCAGAGTAGTGTGCCACACACTGGGCTGCATGCACGTTTGTGTCAGTTGTACATAACATCCTACCCCCACCCCCAGCTTGAGGACGCTTAATTACAGCTCTTCCTACAGGCTGATTTATTCCTGTGAGGTGATATTAATTTTTTTTTGTCAGTTGGAGATGTTATTTTCATCATGGTGGGCCTGGGATTCAGTCCTCTCAAGCTAGCTGAGAACCAGTGCTCTGGATTCTGGCAAATCCACTTGCGTAGCTTTTAACACTGTAGTGTTCTCCTGG